GTGAAGTGTCATTTTAATTTATTCATAGCGTAACCTAAAGACGTCATTCAAAAATTGCAAACAGTGCCGCATATTTCCAAGTCTACTGCGAATGTCCAGTAGCAGTAAAAATAAAGGTGATGTTGGGGGCTGGGGTTCTTAGAGAAAGATAGTCCCTTACTATTCACAAGGTTCCAGTTCTCTCTGGTTATTCACCGGAAAAATCACTATCCAGTGGATTCGGATAAGTATTACGAAAACCAGTTGAGTCATTATCATCCACTGGATAGTGATTTATGCAATGTGGGCAGTTGTAGACGAAACAGGCGTATTTGGCTGTGAGAGTTGCTCTGTCGCTCGTTCATCTCTGTCAAGATTATATAACTGACAGAGAGCTGTGATGAACCGAAAATGATTCCAAGGGAGATGACAACGGGTTTAAGTAGAGGAGAGGAGGAGAGGGGAAAATGCGCCTGCACTCAGCCATTGTCCGTTTGGCGAGCCCCTACTCTGGATGAACGGGGGCTCAGATGGATGCCGATGGCTGCATATTGATTGCTACCTGCCAATCAAGGCCAAGTTTTTCTCCAGTCTTCCGCGAGGAAAAATTACTCTGATTCATTAGATGTGTTCCTTTCGGTGAATCCAAAAACGGGTTTTAAATCTTAAAACGGATTTCGCGTTCCTTTCGGCAAATCCAAATCCGGAATTTTGATCTGGTGAATCCTTTTTGAAAAACAATTCATTGAATTTGAAATCCGAAGAATCCGAATCCAGATTAACGGATTAGTGATCTACGCTGTTCCATTCACATAGCAGGGCCGTAGCTAGCATAAGGCAAGACGAGTTAGTTGCCTCGTCTTGATTTTGGCCTTTTTTTTTCTTTGAAGAAACTTCAAACCTGGTCCCGAACAAGCATGGCTTGCGAGGCTGAATGGACTTGCTTTAGCGTACATTCATAAACCAACGGAAATTGACAGCAGTTCTGTTTTAAAGAGATGGGATACCTCTGGCCGCAGAAGGATTGCCTTAGCTCTCAGTAGAGAATAGACGACGGGCAAAAAACTTTCATTTTTCTAACTGTTAAGGCAGAAGTTTACTACTCTTCATCGTGACAGTTAGTGACTTCTTAGTCCTACAAGTATAAGAGATGGCAATATTATGACATGGTTGTCTCAAAGTTGAAGAACATATTAAAGCAAGATAGTATCGAAACAGATAATTGATAAGTGAGCGTGATTCTGTATGTCATCTAAGAACTAACTTCAAAAAGGTGTTACCTAAGACTTCTCCTAATTATCTACAGTATAAAATCCATAAACGTTGGCTACTCTCGTGGATTCATGTTATTGTTATAATACGTGTTACAACATTATTGAATGCTTTATAATGCAGATGGTCATTAACTTGGCACCAGTATCGCTAAGCAATAAAAAACTGAACTTCTACACTTGCCCAAGATTGACTTTTCTGAAGAAAAAAGCCAGGGAAAATGCTTACAAGAGCATTTCTGAGCCTCTAGATTTCAAAATATTCGGGCTACTGCCCTGCAGTGGATTCGAAATGAGTCAGATGATCCAACGGTATTTCCAGTTGAAGTATTCCCGTAGAGTTCCCTAGTTGCTGCCATTTGACGTCACGTCTGAAAACACTGGAAGATTGTTCCTGGTACAGTAAAATATCTATGTGCTCAGCATCTTTCGCTAAAGATTGCTTAAAAACACAAATAAGTTAAAAGGGAAGAATGAACTGCTATCTTTCGACAAACTCGCTCGTAGACACGACAGTCACTCGATCGAGTTTAACACCCAAAAACAATCTAATACATAAAAAATCCGAGCTACGAAACTGGATCAAACAGAGCCTGCAACCTTTATATAATTTTCAACTTTGACGCGCTCCTTTCTTGATCTGTTTATGTTCCATCGTCGCTATTCCAACTGCCGACCACAAAATTCTGCAAGGTATAATCGCATAATTTGCCAAAAGGTAGAAAACACGCCGTTTCTTGAGAGGCTGTCATGCATATTGCAAGCGCGAAAGGTTACCAAGGTTACAAATCCAATTTCTGATGTCCCTTTCCTTTCGACAGCGAACTCCGGCAAATCTCAGATCAAAACTCTGTTTTTGGATTCGCTGAAAGGAACACGCCCATTGAAAGAAGGAAAAATCAATGGCGGATTTGATCGCTTTCTCCGGAGTTGTAAAAGTAGTTTTTAATTTGGTATTTTTTCTTAAATGTACCAAATGTTGGAAAGTTATGGCTCTGACAATATCGAAGAAGCTTCTCATTAAAATAACATTTTCAAATATTGCCCATCACTAGCTACATCAAATACCCTTCATACACATGTCACTGTTGTTGTCAGTCATAACTTAGTTGCTGGCTTCCAGTGAAAACGAACTCGACTTTCATTGGCTGTTTAACATTTCAAGAAAAGCGATCAAGCGCAACTAATTAGCTAATTAGGGGTTGTTGGGTAATCATAGGCATCGCTGGCAGTCGCTTTTCCCTTTCTCTTCCTCGACCCCTTCCCCTTTCCTCGTCCAAAATGGTGTCCCAAAGCCATCAAATTTTAATTAAGGAAGTGTTTGTGAAAAACGGCTGCTCTGTACGTCTTTGTTGCCCGCTTTACGGAAGCTTTCAAAGTGCTCTAACCATTTACGGGTACACCACCACAGGTTCCGGTCCACTCAAACCATTCCTCAAATTAGTCGTTCCTTATCTTGTCCCGCTGTGTTTCGTCCAGCATAACCGGCCACAGGGTTTTCATCCCGCAGATTATGAGGTTCTTGATATGTTAGTTCAGTAGGGGCCCCGATGATGTTTGCGCTTGCTAGCACACTGTTCGAGTGAACTGACTGTAGTGACGAGTTGCTTCTTACCTTCCACAGGAATCATAAGATTCAGGCCAGTGAATAGCGTTACCACCCTGTTTCAAACCCGTTAACAACCTGATTTGTTGTAAGACTGGTTTGTGTGTGTGTGGTAAAACGCGCAACATCGCTATTCAACTCGTTTTGCAGCAATGTTGCAGGACAGGTTGCATGTTTTGTGTTGCCCTTTTTACCGTACCTTAAAATGTGTATGCATCGTGCAGAGTAAATAGTTCAGCAGGGCTGCGGTGAAGAGCGTGATTTCCGCTGTATAAAGAGTTGGATTAAGCCCGTAACACTTTAGTCCTAAGAGTTCAGCAAAGCAAGTCACACGGTTCACGCGGAATAAGCGTATAATATGTTATAATGATATGTTGTTTAACAGTTTTTTGCCACATAATTCAGTTCAGCAGATTTATTTCAAAATTTGAATATCAACATGGATCATCCAAAATGGTTTTCTTGGGGATAATGCCTCCCATTGAGAACATCATACTTAGGACTTCGTTGTATCAGCCGGAACATCTTTATTTCATCTTTCAATTATACGCGTAACAAGCAATAAATATACAAGGTAACATGAAAGAGATCCTTCATCCTACATTTTTCGAAAAACCTGTATTTTAGTTTTTTAAAAAAATTATTTTTCTATGCTCACTGAACTGACTTCACTTCAAAATAAGTAAATATTTATAACAGTGTGTTTTTAAAACAAAGTCACTAGTAGCAGACAAAGGTCAAAATCGACAACAATTTTCCATGGTCTATACTCTTATTGATGCTAGAAATGACGTCAATCAAGTGGGCGAGTAATTTCACTGCAGACTTTCAACATTTTGATTGAAGGCATTTCTATGGCCGATACGAGTTCAGACCCCGGAAAATTGTTCTTTACCTGTATTTGTTTTTGTTGCTGTTGCTGTTGCTGTTTTTTTTTGTTGTGGTGGTGGTGGTTTTTTTTTTTTTTTTGCTATTTTTTACATCAACATTGACTTTTTTCCGTCCATTTTGGTTGAAATTTCGCAAAAAATCGGAAAATCTATCTCAGTTTAGAACAGTATTCAACCTACTTTAATTTGTTTCAGATTTTTCCTTGTTTCCCTGCCCTGATTATTCTTAGGGGACTAGGGTATCTAAAAGATCGTAATGCTGCGGCAAATTCTGTTGATACTGACATTAGTTAGGCATTGATCCATCTGCTTGCGTGAGACTTAAAAGAATCGAAAATGACATTGAATGTCCTATTTACATGTTAGAAAGTAATAATCACTATCCGTCTATAGAAAGAACTCGTGGAAACATTGTTTAGAAAATGATCGAATGGTTATCAACTCTGGTTTTCCCACAGTAAATTGTAGGAAATGATAGAAATTCAGATTGTTTATCCATATATTTAATATACTGTGTACTATCTTCCATCCGGGAACACGATACTTATCTTGCTGTTTGTTGCACTTTATTAAATAACGGGCATTTAGGTATGTATTTATAGAAACCAACAACTCAAAAAACGAAAAAAAAAGATAAGTTATTGAGTAGGACTCGAACCCGGCACTTTCGGTTCGACGCGCCTATACTGTACCACTACACCACCGAGGCTGATTACGTAACCTTGGGGAAAAGCCTTTAATTTAATGCCTTTCCCATGAAACTTCCGAGCTAGTTTCCCGAAGGGGAATAGTATGCTGAACAGGACTTTTGTTTCTGCTCTAGCTTTATCTAGCTTGTGCAAGTGAATTGGATCATGGCCATTCGAAAAGACCCTCCTTAATTGGTTGCAAATATTTTTATAGTCACTTCTATCATACTTTACAAACTTCGTTGCCAGTCGTCTTCGGCGAATTAGAATGAGACGTTTTACTGTTTTGGAAACTCCAAAGAATTACTATGAGTCCTACAAAATTATGCATGTTGGTACCCATTGCTCGTTTGTGCGTTCCTAAATAAATATAAGTTAGAAATAAATGTAGTAAACCTGGCACAAGACCCCTTTGGTGTCATTTACTTTGGTTTACATTTTTTCTTGAAAACTTAGAAATTTAAGATAAGGTTACCTCAGTGTGCAGGATTAAAAATCGTGCGTACGAGCTAAAGTACAATGTACTCCACCTCTTGTGATGCACTCAGTTCTGAGCCTCCTCCGCTCACTGGGATGTATCTGAGGTGTGTAGTTTTGCTTGGTTTAAACACTTCAAAGCGTCTCCAGCTTTCATCCTTTCTTTTGGATCCTTCTCCCAGCACGATTCCATGACTTCCCTCCAGTTGGGAAACGGCTCAGATGTCTTGTCAATATGGCTTGGACGAAGTCCACATTTTATGTCTTCGAGTAGCTTCGAGGGCTCTCTACTGAGTACCATGTTACGAAACGATACTTCACCGTACCACAGCTCCCAAAGCACAAAACCAAAGCTATACATATCTGCTCTGCTGTCGTAGATTCGACCCTTGCAAACTTCAGGGGCTAGATAAAGGGACGTGCCAAACACAGTACCAGTGAGCTGTCCTTCATATTTGCCTATTCCAACATCTGCCAGCTTCACTTGTCCATCGTGTGTCAACTTAAAACAATAATTTTAAAAGTCAAACGTTCATTATCACTGACCAATGTTGTGATGCAATCGGGTCAATTTAGGTTTCTGGGCAACCTCGTTCCCAGGGCGCTTTTCCGTGGTTTTCCTCCAAAGCCAGGGAAAAGCGCCCTGGGGACGAGGTTGGTTTCTGTGAAACTGCCCATCTACTCCTCCCCTAAGCCAGCATTATCACTTACTTCTCACATAGGGCAAAATGTTGGCTTAGGGGAAGGGTTGGTGGGCGGTTTCCCAAAAACCTAAATTGATCCACGCAATCTATAGTTATGCTATCATAGTTTCGAACGACCCACTTCCTCAAGCGTAATTAATAATAGTTTTTCTTGATCCACAGGGTAAGCAAGTGATGATCATCGATAATAAGAACGTTTTCTCTGGTTCTGAATTATGGAATACAGCAATGCTGGTCAGCATTGGGCTTTGTTCTTGAAGCCTTTGGTCGGAGACCATAGCCCAACAGCTAGTACGAGTCATGAACCATGCGTCCAGAACTAGCCGACTTACGTACAATTCAAGATCAGTTAATCACGATAGAGTACTTAGAAGCGAAAATGTGTGATGTGTGATCAAAGCGTAAAAGGTGTATTAAACATTATTGAATGTTATAAAGCCATAGAACCCACATAAGTGTTTAACTGCTTTAATTTCTGCAAAGGCTTTTGACCCAATAATTGTCCCCGCAGGGATTTCGTCCAGAAGGCGAAATCCTGAGGTAGCACTCTAGTAGATCGCGCGTTAAGGAAAGTACTTACAGTTTAAATATACAGTCAGTATGCCAGAAAAAAATCTCGATTTGCTTAAACAGGGGCCGCGAGAAATCGGTAGGTAATGAAGACGTTTCTATTGTTCGCGCCCGCAAGTACGAGATGGTTAGGATGACGTAAAGACAGAAAATCCCGAAGGGACCGCTTAGGTAGATTTTTTGCTTCGACACTCTTTTGCGTTACGTGTTATCAGTGACAGGTGTGGGGCAGTTGTTTTGAAAGTTATGGACCAAAAGACACTAGCTCGTTAAGCGCAGATGAAGTTATAAGGTGCGTGTAACTGTGCGTATATATATATATTATAAACAATCGAAGAGTTTGTGCCAGACACGAGTTCTCAAATCTTTCAGGGGCACCCAACGTCAATTTTTGGAAAATATCTGTTCGGAAGACGATTTGAGATCTAGAATTTTCGGAACCCTTTGCTGTAAAATTTCTTGCTTGCCTGCCCATTTTTAACGGATTTTTACCCTAAAAAGGTCACCTAGAATTTTCGGGAGCCTTCTTTATGGCTGAAATTTTCGAAAAGGTAAGTTTTGATCCCTATAATTTTCGGATCACTATACTTTCAGCTAGGAAATCCGAACAGATGAAAAGTTTTTAGGGGATAAAAATATGCCTATATCTACCGTTTAAATACTAAAATATGTTCAACAATGCTATTTTTAAGTGGTTTTGAACTATATTCTCGTTGGGTGCCGCTGATCTTTGATTGGAAACCTTGCCAGACACTCTCTCTCTCTCTGCTCTCTCTTTGACCGGAATAAGACTCAGCCCCAAACAAGCAAGACGGTTGAATCAACGGCTTGCTTATCACAAGCAGAACGATGGACGATGACAGAAATTCGCCGACAATCACATTTTGTGCTAACTTAATTCCCTGCTCACAGATGACCTTCCGCTATAAAGTTTAAAATAAAACTAGAATGCGCAAGCGTGAATTGATCAAACGTCCTTTTAATTTCTAAGGCTTACTTTCCGGCAAATGAAATGAAATAGCGAAAAATTCAACTTCTAAGTAAATCTATTTCTTATGGTTTAGAATAAACTATTCTCGAAACTGTGAATGTTTTGATCAAAAGCTGAGTAAAACGAACTGAAACCGTTCATGGAACCTTACGTTTCCTGTTTTTATCTCACCTATCATGGAATACAATTACATGATGTGAAAATCTTCATTATGAATCGGTATATTTCAAAGAGCTACACACTCCACTAAGAATGCTATTGACCGACAATATACAGAGCGGGGGCAACTGTAGTGTCAACTATTTCTAGTTTAGACTAGTTATACGGTTAGTCAATATCTAGTTATAAATTTTACCACATGTACATCTTATTCTCACATGAACGTTGAAGTTCATGCGCGTGCCATCCCACCTTATAATTTCATTCACTATAGGATGTCTAACTCGAGGAGCTATTACCATTACTGTGTGGTAAAAGGCACAAACAATTAAGTGCATGTACTACCTCTATTTACGGAAATCTCTGAGGCTGCACGCTGCGGGATAAGACATAATAAGCCAAGGGAACTACAAGATGGCATTTAGAAAAAAAAAGAATATTTATTGTTTAATACATTCAACGCTTTTGTTTCAAATATGACGCAATGTGCTTAAATGAAGACCCACTGAACCAACTAGGAAATAACTTACCAGCAAATTATCCAATTTCAAATCCCTGTGTACAAATCCTTCACTGTGAATGTATCGTAAGGCATCCAAGACCTGCAGAGCCCAGTTTAGAACTTTGTTCCTTATTGGTTTCTTGGACAATCGTGCAGAGGAATTCTCCGGGTGGGATGTCACCAGTTTTCTAAGGGAGCAGTCACACAGCTCCAAAACAATCTTTACTGTAGTGCCAATTGTTTCGTGCAGAAGGCAGGTTCCAAAATACTTTACAATGCCGGGATGTCGCAACTTTCTAAAAATAACAAAATAAATACACAAAAGGTGAGACAATACTCCCAAGTAGAGAAGCCTAACAGAGTGGTGTCTCGTGTAAGGCTAGCTCCAGGACCTCACAAACACGTAGGTTTATGGAGAGAAGACTGGGTAAACATCAGAAGGAAACAAAACCGGCAGTCTGGGAACACCAGTCTCCCCGGTCCAAGGCCTGAGTCATAGGATCTACCAAGAGGGAGTTAAAATTATCATGACTCGGAGACCGAAAACATTACGAGTAAAACAAAAGAAGCCTGGTATCCTCCCCATCACATACACGTCAGCACCCAACTACCCTGAAAATTAAAAAGATCTTTTTCAGCCCAAAAAGCACCAATTCAGCCCTGCAGACCAAAGTCTGATTCAGCTTCTCTTGGAGCCATTTGAGCACAGTTTAAGCCAACACAGCCCCATCAAAAGCCTATTCCAGCATGTGTCCTGCAGTCCCGTGCTGGGACTCACTTCAGCCCGCTGGTCCGAATAAGCCCTAGGTAATTGGACTGTATTGGCCCTGATTAGACCAAATAATAGGACTGTAATTTACTCACCAAAACAGCGCCAATTATAACAGATCTTTCTGATTGCTGGTGAGTCAGCACACTGTTCTCTACTGAATTGCAGGAAAAAGCGGCCTAAATTTGTCATTTGTAAGATCAGAAGCACGGCGCAGTCGATTGGTTTTCTTACTATCCGGGGAATTCACTACTGTGCGATGACATCAACAAATACGCACGTGGACGAGAGCGAGAGATTTCGAGTAAATTTCCAGATTGCTAGCCTGAGTTTCAGCTAGCAGTAGCTAGCTTGTAGCTAAATGTCGTGGGTCGTGGCTGTAGGTGTGGGTAAATATCGTGAGTAGTCTGTAAGTAAGAATAATACAGAAAAAAATGTAAAAAGTAAAGTAATTGAGTAAAAAAATAAATAGAAAAGGTTGTAAAATATTTATGAAACTAAAATCTCCGACTCCTTGATTGCCCTTTTCACGGCTTTTTCTTGGTCCTATTCCTGATATTTCCTTATATTTTTTAGCCATCTGGGACTTTGGTCCCCTTTCACAACATCACTGTATAAAAGACATGTTGCCGATCAAGATTTATTCATAACTGAGCGATCGCCGCGAAATAAACGGACAGACGCTTTAATATGTCGCAACGTGCAATTTGCAGAAACGGTATGGGTCAGCTCTGACTCGCTGAATGGATATAGTTGCTCACTATTAATCTTTAATCGATCTACAATTCCAGTGATCAGCGCAGATTCTTTAACACGATGGAATGCGATCACCATGGGAAAGGGGAGGGGAAGTGAGGGGAAAAAATGGCAATTTTGAGCTATTTCACTTTTTTTGATACAAGAATTCGAAGTTTTAGGTCTTTTAGCTCAACCTTTCAACTTAAGGCGAGATTGTATTGAAATTTTATTGCCGTACGGAAATATGTTCACTCGATTCTTTTTTGTTTTGTTTTGTGTACAAAATCTTAGCTGTAACGATTGTGAATATCATTCCTTTTACTGAAAGGACGTTTCAGTTACGATTGTTGACATCTTTGAGAATAGGCAGTTTAGTCTCCAGTTTTTTCTTTAGCCTGCTTCAGGTGTAACTAGTGTACAGAGTTTCTTTCATTCTTCGCCTAAATGCCTTTAATTTTTAGTGTCCGTTGGTACTAAAGGATTCGCTTATTTACTTTGCTGACCGCGGGGAAGGGGAATAGGGCTGGTGTGTACGCGGAGATTTTCGTTTCATGAATTTTACAACTTTTTGCTATTTAATTTTTAATTTTTTTTTTTTAAGACTTTTTTTTACCCACGAAATTTACGCACGACCCACACCCAGTACACTGTATTAGTATAATTGTAATATTTGAAATAGTTATGTTTAACTTTCACTGTTAAATTTTTTTGCTAAATATATTTTTACTAGTACTAGTAAAGCTTTTTTAAAAATAGTCTTCATGTTAATCATCCAGGCAATTATGGATGTATCATTTATCGCGAACCGCGTTCCTGGCAGCCAGATTCTTTGATACCTTCTTTTTTCAATGCATATTTTACTACAAATTACGAAGCCAGCGTTTGAGAAGTATCATTAAATATTAATTTCATTGCAGGTTTATCAGCTTTTATGTACAATTATCTCAATGGATTAAGTGCCTGAAGTCCAATTAATTATGTTCTTTGCAAAGCAAAATTAAGTAAAATCGAGTCACTTTAAAGTTGCAAACACTTTTCAGGCGATAGTTGTGGGTTTTGCCTGATATTTAAATGTCACATAGTAGCCTGTCATCATGCACTCTACAATGCCTAAAAGGACATGAAAAGAATATGAGGATGATTATACCTAGAAAAGTGCTTTGTTTTTACCAAATGAGCTCGCGAACAAAGAACAGGCACGTATGACAGAATTGTGAGAGACAATTCACTGCTGTGATTTCTGTGAAATTATTATTTATGCAGTCAAACAATCTCGATGAAGAATTTAAACGGTAAACAAAATCTTGACCTGAGAAGAACATCTGTAGCTTCTTCGTGAAATTCTATTGTACGACCGATACAATTTACGCGGACTATACTGGATTATTTTGTGTTTCTCTCTTGTGCCAGTTGTGTTCCCTCCGCGGTGACACTTTGAACATGTTTGAAATGAGTCACGCACTGGGATTCGGCTAGCCTGAATTTCATTTTTTTTTTTTCTGTTTTTTGTGTTGTTGTTTTCTATAAATATATAGCTAAATAAACAGCAAGAAAAGTATCATGTTTCCAGAGAAAAGATAGTACACCCTATATTAAATATATGGATAAACAATCTGAATTTCTATCATTTCCTACAATTTACTGTGGGAAAACCAGAGTTGATAACCACTTGATCATTTTTTAAACAACGTTCCCACGAGTTCTTTATATAGACTAATAGTAATTATTCTAGTACTTTCCAACATGTAAATAGGACATTCAATGTCATTTTCGATTCTTTTAAGTCCCACTGCCTAACTAATGCCAGTATCAACAGAATGTGCCGCAGCATTACTATCTTTTAGATACCCTAGTTTTAAACCTGTAAACTTAACCGTTCGTGACCTCGATGAAACTATTTCCTTAGGCAAATAAAGAAATCTTTAAAAATATAAACAAGGAATTACTAAAAACTCAGGCCTAGTTTATCATCTGCTTGCACTCTTGGAAATTTACTCGAAAGGCTTTCCCCATTCATACATCACAAGTACACAGAAATAATGTATTTTTCTTTTACAAGGCTTAATTTGTATAAAGTGTCCTCCGTTTCTAACGTTTGTTTATCCTTTACAAAACAATTTAAGAGCGACGGTCAGGAAATATCGACCATCGAGTGGCAAGAGTTGAAAAATCGAATTCCTTCATTTTTTGTCCATAAATAGCTTTTAGTTAGATAAGTAATCTGATGTTAGTAGTTCTCGCAAAAAGCCTTTTATTTTCGAGAAAAGTAAGAATATAAGTTTTCGTGGTCGGAGTCTCAAAATGGCCGTATTTTCAACCCGAAATTTGCTAACATCAACTCTCCTCGCGTTCGCAAATAAAGGCGCAAGGAGAAATTTAGACACTGTCCATCAATAGAACAACTCTTCTTCTTTCACTAGAAGATACTTTCAAAGCAATATCAAGACTCGTTGAACGGACATAATTAAAAAACCAAGAACAGGTTTTTACGGTGACAAGAACTTTAATTTAGTAGTTGTTTTCTGCGGCATTATTTTTCCTGTGGCATAGCTCCAAATTTTCCCAGTCCTCGTTTATTCACACATTTAGACATTCATCTAAAACATACCTAAGAATTTTCTTGGGTTCNAAGGGAAACTGAGTGTTAGATGTACAGTTTGCTCGTCTCCAAATGTAACATATCTGAAAGATTGTCGGCATATGTTTTGTAACATGAGGGATTGTGGACGTTCGAAGATTGCATGAAAAGGTGGTTTGCTTTTTAACCCTTTTGCGGATCACCTTGCCAACCCAGGGTCCCACATCCCCATATAAACAGTCCTTTGGTGTACAGAGAACGATCGAAGACTATTAATCCATGCCTTTATTCAAGCCTTTCAAGAGCAAAAAATTAATTTGCGGTCAGATTGTTGGAAATACTTAACTGCAACAGAAACGCGAAAGCTAGCCAAACCTTGAAATTAGAACAGCCCTGGACCAGCCTTTCATTTTAAAGAGCACCGTTTTCCAATAATATGCCAGATGATCCTTAATGACAGGGAATTAATGACAATATGCCTTCTTAGCAGTCACCCTTACCCTCATCCTTACCCTTACCCTTACCCTTACCCTTACCCTTACCCCTTACCCTCACCCCCCACCCTTACCCTTGGTGTTACCCTTACCCTTGTTTTAGCAACGCCGCATTTAACGGCACCAAGTTTCCTCGATCGTAAAGTAACAAGAGGAAATATCTTCCTGTTCCCTCATCCTTAGCGAAATACCATTGTTAAAGTCCTTATTTTTCGATGAAAAGTGAGTACCAGAATAATAGCGCGTTTGATTTTTTCTTCTTCAAAACTGACTGTCGGCATCAAAAATGTTACTCTTTCAAGAATTCCGTTGCGTTGCGTTGCCTTGATTCCGTGACTGTCATTTTGACGGCTCCGTCTCTTCAAATGTATGTTATGTCACGTGTAGTCACGGAACAGATTGTCACGCAGAGTCGCCGGCTGGTAGAGTTGAGTGTTTCAAAGTGTAAAAATAACCCAGTTTCACCTTTTTAACCTAACTATTGCGATGAAAAAAGCAACTTTGCAATGGGAAAACTCACAAGAAGTACGAAAAACGAGCCTTTAGGCTGTAAATATCTACTTTTGTGCGTTTCGAAATTTGAAGTGTTTACACAATTACCGCCGGCCTACAATGAAAATTTCTGAACTTCGATGGCGTCTTACACAGATTTCCTTTAATAACCCAAGCCAATTCCCATGTATGTTTTAAATGAATGTCTAAATGTGTGATTTAAATAGCATGAAGAGAATTTGCAGTTATACCACATGTTAAATATTGCTGTCGAAAATGAGTAACGAACTTAAGTTTTTGTCACACTGAAAACCTATCCCTCATTTTTTAACTATTTCAGTACGACCAGCTTCGCTATTGCCCTGAAAGTATCTTTTAGTGGAAGAAGAAGAATTTTTCTGTTCACTGAAAGTGTCCAAATTTCTCCGTGCGGCTTCGTTTGCGAACGTGAGGAAAGTTGATGTTAGCGAATTTCAGGTTAAAAATTAGGGCAGTCTGAGACTCTAACATCGAAAACCGATCCTCTAAATTTTCTCACAAATAAAAGGCTTTTGGCAGGAACAATCAACATTAGGTTTCTTATCTACCTAACAGCTATCTATGATGATCACATTGCCTGCAGTCATTTTAGCAGGGATAGGCCTTTGAATATTTGAAATAGAGAGTAGCTTTCATATCCTCGCACACAGCCCATAATAAAAGACTGGCGCTGGCCGCAACAGAAATAAGGCCGGAGAACTTTTCGTAGAGTTATAGGATAAGGGTCATCTGTTTTAACTTACTGCTACCCATTCACGCCTAAGGGTTGATTTCTACTGTCGCGTAGTTTTTCCGTGCGAACGCACGTAAAATTTACGCTCGGAAATGAAATAGAGGCAATGAAGGAAAGGCCACGCGTAAACGTGAAAGTTGAGAGAGGTTCAACTCTTACGTTTACGCGTGACCTTACATATATTGTCTCTCTTTTTACTTACGCGTATAAAATTTCCGTGCGTACGCAAGTAAAAATTACGCGACAGTGGAAATTACCTTAACACGTATTAGCTGGCAACAAGAGCCATAATAGGCAACTATTCATTAGTGGTAATTATATGTATTCTTGACAAACCTCAAAGGTCTTTCTTCATCAACAAAATAATGCCACAAGTTTCTGGTAGTTAGAGGGTCTTTATACTCCTTTATAGCCACGGCAACTTCTGGTTTTCTCCTCTGAGCAAGAACGCCTCTGTACACCGTTGAAAAGGTGCCACTTCCTATGATTGAGTCATCTCCTCCCCATTTCAACTCATCACTGATGAAATCCGACTTCGTCATTTCTGCGAGATTAAATACGTTTAGTTCACGTTCTAAGAGCTCTGCTTCTGTGGTCAAAGGTTCATAGATTTCGCGAATCTCCTTCTTACTTCTGTCGTCATCAAGTAGTTTCTGATACATTTCCCGATCACCTTTCAATAGCTTGGGTATTCTCTGCTTGATTCGATTCAGACAATCTATGGCATCTTTCAGCTGTTCTTTTATGAAAGGCAGTAATCTATCTTGAGAGCCAATCAGTACCAGGCATTTGCGTGATGTTTGTGACATGTAGCCACACGGGTCGTCTCGATACCTTTGCCGTTCAATTTTTTCGTCGAGCTTCTTCAAACTGAGATCAGACATGCTCCAGGAAGATCTTACGGCCAGGGGTGCTATACCTTGTGTTTGCCACGAAGGAAGAGCACCCGTGATAAATTTAATTCGCCGTGATAGAACTGATAGAGCTCGGGGCCTTATTCGAATTGCATACTCTTCCTGCTTGACTTCTGTGTCAACTTCGTCGGAAAAAACGTATTCTTCCACTTGATGGATTTCTTTTTCCATGATATCGTACTTTTCACAGCAATGTGTAATAAGTCTATCCTGAGCCTTCGCAAATGCATGCGTTTCCTCTTCCCAAGACTGGGTAAACTGCTGGGCTCTCTTTGAAATACATTTTAGTACCTCAGTTTTTGTTTCCTCCCACGTTGCTTGAACCTCAGGTGCCTCAGAAGAAGACCATTCGCAAAATTTCTTGACAGCCTCATCGGATTTGAAGTACTCCGTCAGCTTTGTAATGATATCTTTTAGGATCTCTGACTGAAATTTAATAAGCTCATCAAATTTACGCTGCTGAGATTCCTGCAGTTCTTGCATCCGCTTCTTTACCCTTGAAATTTTATCCTCTGTTTTTTGTTGGGACAGCCTCGTTGTTTCAAGAGATAATTTGAGTTCACGGGAGACATGAAAAAGGACGTCCTCCAGCCATCTGTTGAATAAAGACTTCAAAATGAACTGTTTTTTGGTTATTATTATTTATCAAGACCAACCTAATCCCTGTATAGATACGAAACCCGATTATTCCATTTACAGTACAGAGCTTCTCCACGAACATTTTTCGTCCAACTTTCCTTTTCTTGTAATCTTTATCAAAGTGAGCATGAAAACGAGGTTAAAATACAAGTTGAATTGGTGTATAACTTTTGTCCAAAACACTAAATGTCGCTTAATCCTTAAAATATTCCGACACCATCTTTTAATTCTGCCATTACCAGAAAGCAATTAGAGAGTTTTCGAAATACCTCCTTACGGCAAATCACAAACGTCTGATTTAATTTTGATTAACTGGTAATTTTTTAAGGAAATCAATTCTTATGGATAAAGCTGGAATGAAACTACTTAATTCTCATAAAAAGCAATTAAATGTAAACACTATAAGGCTTTGTAGTAACATACTTTAGATATTGTTCGGCGGTTTGGCACTTTTGTGGGGCTCAAATAGAGACAAGCTAGAGACAAGCTAGAGACATGTAACGAAACAGGGCACAGGATTGTTCTTAACCAGAAATCTTATTTTGCACCACCATTTTATACAATTGTGTTATAAATCGGAAATAAACTGTGGTGATTTTTTTTATACCAGGTGCCAAGATATGTTAATCAGTTTTTACTGAGGGTATCTATAATGACACTATGCCGAAATATCTAGGTGGTCTGTATCAAATGAGGAATACAACACACGATCTGAGAGGATCGACCAAAGCTTATTGTTCCTTGCGCCAAGACAATGGGAGATCTTCTCCCCGCCCCCTTGTTAACATACCTGTAGTGCATTTCCAGCTTGTTTTGCATCGAGGAGACTAAAAGATTGCAGATGCCAGTGGTTAGGTCGTGAAAGCCCTCAGTGACGTAACCAAGCCGCGTCTGACAAACGTGAGCAATTTTACACGACAAGTGCACCATCTGTGCGTTTGGATCTAGATTAAAAACCTTTTTGGAAAGAAGTTTGATTTGTTCTTCCTTCACCTTCTCCTGCTCGTTAGAATCAACGCAGTCCCACTTGTTACAGGCAAACAAGGCACATCTGTTAAATAGGGCGAGATCATTCTCCGTGAGGTTTGCTTGGGCACAGCTAATGAGCATTCCTAGCTGTTCATAGGAAAGGAAAAGAAAATATATGGCAAGACTTCCATCACTATTCAAGACGGAGAAAAATGCATCTCGATGTTTTTATTTCCCCTTCTGAGGTACTCAGTAACGCTAATTAGTTCTCGATTTGGTCAAAATTTTACGGTATTTTGCAAATTTTCTAACTTATTTACAGCTAAACAAAAAACATTTTAATATACATTGTCAAAAGCATAAAAGGCATTCTGAATTTTGCCACATTTAACACGAAGCGATTAATATCAGTCATGAAATAAATATAAACGAATGGTGTAAGAGTATAATTAGGAAATGATATAATAGGGATTATTATTCATTCAAAATATTTTCCCGATTCTGATTGGCTAAAAGCACACGCATAATTCACCATAAAGAGTTTCTGATGACCAAATTTGGAAGAATTTTGTGTTGTTTAACGAGGAAATGACGTCAAAAATGCAGCGTTCGTGCATTTTAAGGCACCGTTAACCGAGAAGACCTGGTAAAGAGGTTGAGTTGTTTTGGTTGTGAACTTGAAAAATGGCGGACATTTCACTCGTTTCAAGAAAAAAAAGTAACTAAAAGCATGGCAAGAACAGTAAGAAGACAACTCGAAGGGCGACATCTGCTATTTGGAGAATATTTGCGGAGCTGGACAAAGCTAAACGTGCACTACCGAAGATGAACTTAACATCGATGGATCGATGGAGGTAAGCATGTTTTAGCCATGTTTTTAAACTAGGAATTATTTTGAATGAATAATAAAACAATTATTGAATTTGGCTTTCGTATCATATGAAGACATATGGAGATCTCGGAGGATGTTATCCGCCTCGGCCGATAACACACTCCTCGATCTCCATAATTCTTCATAAGATACTCAGCCTCATTCATTAATTGTTAAACATGATCAATAGTCCGGGAGTTGTGGACTAACGATGCTTAGGGGCCGACCATTTTGAGGGGGGGGGGGAGTATGGGTGATTTGGTTTGTGTAAGATTTTTTTTCCTAAACCTTGGGTGATTTTCCTGACATACAATGATGTTAGATTTTTTCCCAGTATTATACACCATGAAAGGTTTTTTTTTTCAGCGTGGGATTTTTTTTTCGCCAGTTATTTCCTTCAAGAATTTTTTTCCCCTCGAAATCAGTCTGCAGGATATTTTTTTCTGAAATCACCCATACCCACCTCAAAAGTCAAATGGTCAGCCCCTTAAGGCTTACCCTGTCTTCTTGAACCCCTCCAGCATTTCCGCTATTGATGACATAGATAAAGCACAACGCGTTGGGCATGTACTTTACAACGAATTCATTCATCACCTCACTTTCTCCTACTCCTGGGCTGTCCACTATAACGACCTTCTCCTGAAATGAATCAGGAATGCACCCGTAAGGCTTTGTGAGGAGAAAATCTTTTAAAAAACAAAAACGCTAAAATCGTTAAAGGTTTAAAAAGAAAACCAGTTTTCAAACCTAAATCGGAAAGAAGTAAATTTGTGTGATAAATTTGGGTGATAAATGTTTCGCGGTGTTCTGGATGGATTTTTCCGGACTTTTTAGAAAGTCTAGCTTCAAAATGGCTGATAGTCAGAGTAAAAGCTCGAACAAAAGCATTCTTTTTCGTGTTCAAGTTCAAGTTCATTTATTCACACTTATTCAATTGCAATACAACAACAATGAAGGAAAAAAAAGAAGTAGAAACGTAGCTATACATTGAATTAAACATAACAAAGGAAGAAAGTGTGTAGCAGCCAAAGGAGCCAAGCTTTCGAGTTGGCTACTATCACAGAGCGGTTACAAGTGGTGGAGGTTATACAGTACTGAAGAAATATCGATCAATATTCCCTAGGAGAATCTGCTTAAACTTAATAAGGAAAGGATGCAGAATTTCTGCCATGCCCTGAAGCTAAATAAACTTAAGGAGTCGACACTCGGCAAGTGTAAGCAATTGTTCGAAAAACAGGTTGCTCGAACCAAAGATAGTTATAAATTTTCTACAGCAAAGGATCCTCTGTTTAATTCTACCCGCATCTGAAAAGTAGAGGATCATTGCAGGCAAGAAAACAGATGTGATTGTGTACGTACCGATCATAACCTATAAGTATGCTGGAGCAAAACTTAAAAGTGGCAGTACAGAAGGTCTATTACCTGGATTTTTCCCGTCGCGGAAAGGCCGAGTAATGTCCGTGAAAGGTTCTGAGTGTAGTGAACTATGTGGCGTTATGTATGTTAAAGCTGTAGTCTTAAATCACATGCAGGGAGAATCAGGGGCTAGTCTATAATCAGTGTACGCTAGCCGAAAGGTGGGATTACGTGACGTTCTTGACTGTGATTACAAGGTGATTGCCCAGATTGTAAACATGTAGCCTGTCCCAGGCTCCGAGATAGTTGGGAAAGATGAAAAAGCGCGAAGACGAAAGTAAAACGGGAGGAAACTGGGGAGAGAAGGGGCAGCGGAGCCTGTAATCATTTCTTTAAACGACCCGTCCCGGTATAGCATCTCCTGGTATACCCTCTGATTGGTCAGACTTGACACATTATATCAACACTCTCAAAGCGGGTCGTTCCTGTCACTCAGAAAGATGGAATGAGGCGTCCACGCGCGTGAAATAGAGAAATCCACGATAACTTCTGTGTTGAACGAATGTTAACGAGATTTCCCGCACATAGAAGAGCTGAGGAAGGAATAGAAGACCTGCTTTGTGAACTTAGCGCGAGGAAAAAATGTTTCTGCAGTCCTGCCGACCGGCTTCGGTCTTGCCTGATGACAAAGTGGCAATAACAGAACAGTCGTAAGAAGGAGTTATCTTCGGGCTCCAGTCCAGACTCACATTATCTAAGGATCTCTATGGAAAAACAAGCTGGAGTTTAAAAATCATTGCTTAAAGAGCAATCTTGACTGACTCACAACGTAGTTCTCCATATTTAAAGAAGCTTCAGTTTAAACCATCACATTCACGGACAAAAGAAAATCGCTTTCATTTATTCAGATCAAGGGGGGACTTTATAGAAAATTTAGACTTTAGAGAAAAATAAAACAAAAGAGTGAAGAACTTTAAGTTTCAAAAGAGGTAACAGAAAATGCTCTTGCATCAGAGGGCAAATCATCAATCATGCCGACCAGAAACAATTACCTCAGAAAATCAATATGCGTGTCGCGACCTCTCAGCATGAAACAAGCGGCAACATAGTTTGCTCAGTCAAAATGTAGACCCCTCCAGAGCATAATTTACCCGTAAGAGAAAATATTCATTGGAACAAGCAGCATTTTGGCACGAGGTAAAAGTCGTATTTTGCCTACCGACCCGCTTTTTACACTCCAAATTGCTCACGCTCGTATAAGGGATTAGCGCCGCGCGAAACAATCTCGCGAGAAATTTGAGACAGATTCCAACTCATTGACATTTCAAAAGTTTGACAGCCGGAATCTAATTATCTCAAACGTGCCAAAAGTGGGCGGAAGAGGGTCATAAAAGAAATGGTTACAGCGTCTTTCTCCCTTCCTTTTCCTCTTTTTCGCCCTGCCAACTTTTCGCGTGCCTTTTACTTTCGCGTCTTATAAGTTTAGGATTTCTACTGGGACCGTACGCAGCGCCAAGGGGAAGAAGAACTAATATAAGCCTTGGCAACCTAATACGATGTTTCCCTTTCACTTAGGGTCACTCTGGCGTGTTTCGCTTATTGGTAGTCTTTATTTTACGGTTTTTTAAAAAAGGTACACCCAATCCGGTCCCTTATATATGGCTATACGGGGGAGGGCTAAACTTTTTTATAAAGAAGTTTAGGGGGGTCAGCAAATTGATCGCGAGGTATATATATTTCAACAGGGTTCCATTGGCCAAGATGGGTAAAACAGTTAATTAGTAGAGCACAAACAATATATGTGAAACAGTACTGCTAAATTGTACAATTTTATGCTAATCCTATTGCTTTTTGTTAATTTGAGCATCACTATTTTTTACAACTTAGTCATTTGCATTTGACAGGATTCTGTATGCACTCTAAACTTCATTGTTATTTCAAATTTTAGCTAATAAAGAATCCAGACCTATTAGCTTAAATATTTGGTTTGACTGAATTTTCTTTTAATCTGAACGAAATGCTTGTGTCACTTAAATATCCCAAGAAAAACATGATGAAACAACAAGAAAGTAGTCCTTTTACAACTGCAGGAAAACATTTGAAAAGAATTATATTTTGCATGGTTATCACATTTGTGTTCACCATGAAGGCACGGTTTGGAAAAATCTATCAATTTTCCTATTTATACGCTGATTTTGTAATAGAGTAGGTTAGTTCCATTATTATGCAAAGTAACTAATCATCTTATGATAAGTATGTTTATTTACCAATAATTTTCTTCACTTCACTTCAGAGTATTGTTACATGCATTTTAATAATTACTTTGTAGAGCATATAAGAGCAGATATAAGGTGGGGGATCACTTGCTATTTACATGGTCTGCAGTGGGGGAAGCCTTACAGAAATTTTGATCTTTCCAACACATTTTTCCCTCTCCCCCTCTTCATAAATAATGACCGGTCCCTTTGAGTAACTGCAAGCCAAGAGCTGTTCGAGATCGGAGTTCACTTTTAACTTAAAAACAAAAACAAAAGCTGCGCGACGAAGAGAAAGCCCCCCAAATCGAATAATACAGGTCGTAAAAAACAATAAATTCGCCAGTTTCGATTAAACCTAGCTTATACGATGCAAATTACAGAGGTCTTTGAATGCGATGACGACTACATGTACGAGATTTTCTCAATACTAAGTGGTGGTTGCGCGTGAGTCAAGCGTCATTTTGGTGGGGAAATGTGACAGCTGTCGTCATTCTACTAAGAGTTTTAGCGAGAACGCGCGCGGTGGCCGAAACAAGTCATCAAATGTTAGAAATTTTATTATTTTGAGATCGGGAGAGGGTTTAACCTTCTGCAGTGCAGTCAAGATGACAGTGCTAACTTTTCTGGTGAAAAAAAGTACAATGAAGCTTTCCAGGGTGTCTTTTCTTTGACAATAGGCGAAAAAACTTTAAATCAATTCTCGTACTCGTAGTCGTTCTCGTCCTCGAATCTAAAAAGGTCTCTATTTTCCTCAAAGATGGCTTGGTTGACGCTGTAGTACGTTAAAAGAGTACGTCTGTAAAAGGAGCAGATTAACATGCTCCTCACTGATGCAAGCAGGCTTGGTTGTAAGTTATAAGATATTGACTGTGATAATGCAGTTATTCCAGGGTTTAAAACTTGCCGACGCCCGACGCAAGGTGCCGGCTACTTTTCGTGTTCGCGTCGGGTACTTTTGAACATTGTTGAGATAGCACTAACAATACCCATCAGCAATGCAAGGCCTGAAAGGGGTGCTAGTCGAGTTAAGTTGATCAAAACACGACTCATAAGTAGAATGACAAATGAGATGCTAGGGAGTCTTCTAAACATTTCTTTAAACGGTCCAGACACAAATTCTTCCGGATGTGACAGTCTTGTGCAAAAGACCACCGCTAAATGGCTGTCAAGTAAACGGTACAAGTTGTCAAAAGGAAAGTCCACGACTGGACGGTCAGAGGCTGGCAAGACTTCAGGACCAGCTGTGGAGTGTACGAATGTGTCCACTCAGACAGACATGGTGGTTTACATAGAAGAGATCAGTCGGGAGGAGGTTGAACAAGAAGATGAACAGGCTATCATTAAGCTAGGCCTAGCACAATATGATTCTGGTTCCGATGAAAGTGATGGAGAGAGTGCAATGGGGGAGAGTGATTTCAGCGACAGTGACTTCTAAATTCAAAAAGAGATAGAGTTAATTTTTCGATGTCTTGTTTCGTCTAGTAAGTGTAACTAAAAGTCAGTGAGGTTTAAAGTTGGTAATCATTTAAAAAATGTCCTTGGCATAGATTAAGATACAAGTATAATTTAGAATATTTTTTTTTGCGTAAAGTCTATTCAAATTAGACTCTTTTTAAACAATCTTCACCAACACTGTAGAGTTTATTTTATGTAACAATGATTGAAGAAAGTTGAAGAAAAAAAGTCAATGGAATTTTTTTATGAAAACTTTGTTATAATGATGTCGATTTTGACCAATTAAAAATCACGTTTTGAGCCCTGAAAATGCACCAGAATACATCTTTGGACGTTCAAATTTTCAAAATTTCCCAGAGGAGGCTCCCCGGAAACCCCAACAGGAGGGGGACACTCCCTCCCGTACCCTCCCCCACGTGCGGCTTTGCCGCACCGCGCCGCTCCGCGGCGCATTACTGAGTCAGGTACAATTCAATTTCCTCCTTCTAGTTTTTATAAAAATGAAAACCCTGTATTCGCGATTGCGAAATTCATTATTGTTATTCCATTTTGTTATAACAATAAGTTTTTTGCTCACGGTTAATCAAAAAAGTTTTCACGCTTATTTTCCTCTGACAACAACGGCCATAACCCGGAGCGAAGAACTCCTATATTAAACCTATGTCAGGGCGTTTTTACGCCCCAGTTTACTTTTAGACACATTTTAGGGCACGTTTTCCTGCGAAAATGGAATCCCCACCATGTCTATGAGCACATTCGAAGTACAAGATATCAAAAAGGAAAACTGAACGTTATTAAAAGGCAAAAAAATATCATTTTTAGGTCTGTAGGTTTTGCTGATTGGCTTGTAGAATTGAAAAGATATTCAAAATTCGGGCCAAAACCATTCTGAAAATAAACTGGTCCGTCAGCCCTTTCCCGAGTAAATTTATAAATAGAACGGCTTGTTTCCTGCGAAAAGTGTCATATTTCCGTGAGTCTCGTATGTCACCGTGAAAAAAATGAAGTTGGATGAAGTCGAACTCAGAAGCCCGTCCTTCGACCGTTTTCCCTTTTTTTTTTTTTGCCGGGTCATTAATCCCACATTTAAGCATGCACCTTGAAAAGGGTAGACGATTAAGCGTTCTGTGGACGATTTGGAACTTTTCGATGATCAGCGCCGAAAAAGTGCCAAGATCATTTGATTTGTGTCATCACCGTGGAGTGGATTTCGCCAGTTAAGCACCGCGTGCAAAAGCGATGACCTAAGTAGCAACTAACGAGGAATGCTTCAGTTCCGAGATTTGAGAAATTGCAGTCTTCCTTTACGACTGACTTTTATCACCATAAGAGTTGCCTGATAAAACTGGCACTTGAAAAGTTGAACAGAAGACAACAGTTGCTCGACCGTGAAGCTAACTCAAAAGTAATTTGCTAAAGGAGGAATTTGTGACATCGCGCTCCAGTCCAAAGACCCACTTATCTCAAGAAAAACAAAATGGATTGTATCTGCGACAAAGAATTATGACTGACTAACAAAACATAGCAGGGAATCATAACAGTAGCTGACGGACAAACAACCACAAGGACTACAAGTATTTAATCAGATAAACGCATTTCGGAAAAAAAAACCTTGAAAAACTAGAAAGTTGATTAATATTGAGTCATTTAGCCGAAATAAGAACCTTAACGCTCAAAAAAACGAATCCTGTTAGAACGACAGACTGCAGGTAGTAGTTAATCATTATGCATGTAACAGACCAGCTTCATGGCCTCTTAATGTGAGACAAGCAACTAAAATTAAGATTAACATAGTCAGAGTTTAAAACTCTCCACAGTATAATCTACCTGCTAGAAAGAAAAGAAAGAAAATATCTGAGGGATGAAAACGCTAAAGTCAAGTTTCACTAGCTTATGATTGTGTTTGGCCTGTCAACACCGAATTTCCTGCTGTTTGATGAAGTACAACTGCAGTGTCATTTCGTCGTTGTGATTGGCGCTTCCCACCGTCGCCGCGCGAAGTCTCCCCTGGGAACCGTTCTAATTATAGATCTACTCGGGAAAGGGTTGACTCCAAGCGCTTGTATGGGAGATGGAGGCTCCATTTGATGGGCTCCTGGTCCGTGAAATGGCCCTGACACGAGCGCATAGAATCTGCTCGCTCCGGGATATGGGCCCTGACTCTGACGATACATACTGTCAAACCTCCATGTTCGACCACCTCTCGTAAGACCTCTCGTAAGCGATCACCTCTCTAAAACACCAAAACATTTCCCGGTCAAAGCCCTGTAATAATTACAATTACCTCTCGTAAACGACAACCTCTTATATTTAAGCGTCCGCGACCATGTTTTGGCCTGACGGTTGTATAGCTTTCCATTGCGTTTAACCTCTTGTAAGCGACCGCTTGACGTCAGGTATGGTCTCTTTGGTCGTTGTGTGTACTACGCCACTCAGAGTACACAGTCGAATAACTTTCAGTGACAACATGGGCGGCATACTACTAATTTGAAAATTGCATGCAATCAATTCTCTGCCAAAAAGTAGATGTGTAGGAACCTCCTCTCGAAAGAGACCCCTGGGGTTCGATTCTCGTAAGCGACCACGTTCAGTATACTATGCGGCCTCTAAATCTTCGCATTTTTTGTGGTTGCTGATGGGAGGTTCGATTCTACTTATTTATTTTTTCTAATTACCTTAAGCAAGGGGTGAGGCCAGAACAACTCTATTTTCTCGTAAGGTGTCTTTTGTAGATCATCTCTCTCGCTGACAAATTGGTTGATCTGGTCTTTGTAACTTTTTTCAGGACTATCAATCAGTTCATGTGTTACTGGGCTGCCTGCTTGTGTCCCATCGTTCTTGAAATGCAAGCAGATCTTTGGCTTGTCTCCATATTTCAGTTCACAGATTGTGAAGGTTGTACATAGGTGTGCAGAAGGAAGAAGATCTTCTCCGAGAATCAAGTTTATAAGGCTGCTTTTGCCAGCACTTGTTTCACCTTTTCATAAAAACAATCCGATACAAAGGAAATTAGGGATGATGTCTTGTAAAATATCTTTGAATATCCTCTTAACCATTTAGCGAAATTTCAGGATCTGTCACCCTCAACTACATTAGTATCATCATTACTTTTTATTTAATATTCTTGTTGAAATAATGAAAAACTCATATTGTAACTTCGGATTGAAGAACTCAGTTTATAGTAGAGCAAAAAACCTGAAAACATTCAGGCTTGCACGAGATTCGAACCAATAAACTCTGTGATACCTGACTGAAGCATATAACTCCGAAGCAGCATCTAACTTCCCATTATCTGTTTAGAACCATGCTGGAGTTTTTTAGCCGACGTAGCCGTCCAATCTGAAGCACGGAAAATTATTTCGCCCAAATATGGAATCAGAAAATTCAGGGCTGAAAACTTTGAGCTCCCAAGCTTATACATGTATGTCTACGACCGAAAGAAATCTTTTCGTGACATAACAGATAAAATAATTATGCTGCTATAAAATGCAACCCTGGGAAAACATAAAGAGCCACAAAGTTATCAGTGGCGCCGGATCCAAGGGGAGGGTTCGGGGGGTCAAAGCCCCACCCCCCACATCAGAACTGACGCTTGTTTGAGACCAAAATCAGTTCCATCGACTGGATCGTACATTATCAGTTTTTAAAGGGCTGATTTATTTAATGAAACGCTTATTGCATTTGCCCGAGGGGGCTATAAACTAAATTTCAGGGATATTCCAAAATGTAATTGTTTTTGGGTACCCTCCTATGATCTGTTCGCCCCTGCTCGCAAAGCAGTATTTACCGCGCCAACGGCGACCGACGTTCACAGATAGAGAAACATGCGGTCGTCTCTGTGAGAAGTAATTTGCTACAAAAAAGTTTAGTCAACAGTCCTTTCTGAACCAAAGTTTGGACTCCCCCAATCAGTATTTCCTGATTCCGCCTATGTTTTTTAAAAGCGGTATGGCTTGAAAATATCAACGAACAGAATCTGCAGCCTGACACTTTGACCGACAAAGGTCATCCTCAGGCTACTAGCTGCAAACCTATCTACCACGGCAAAAACAAACAAAATTCATGATATGGCAAGCTTTGAAGAAGCGTTGTACAAGGCGCCGACGATCAGAACGGAATCTTTTTTTGTGAGTCTAGAATTTTCAATTCATTCAGAACAGTACGCGAACACATGTATGGCAGTTTTGATTAGATGTGTGAAATAAGTTTTTTTTTCTTTTTGGGGACAAAGAAAAGTTTTAAGCTTCGAAATTTACCTTCGAGGACTTCGACCTTGTTTTCTTCACGGCGGAGCGCTTGTCCTTTTCTAAACTGCGACCGAGTCAGCAACCTTTTTAAAGAATTTTCAGGTAAACTTACATTTTACACATTATGCTGAAGGAAAGTCAGTACGTTATTGAAAGGAAATTTATGAATTTTGAAATTTTTCTTGGACGTTTTACATATTTTTGATAGAGTTTTCAAGAAAAATTGGGAAAAACGCCCAATTTGAGACAGATAATTTTAGTGCTAATTTTTGCCATGTGCACAGCCAATTTTACCTGTGGAAACGGATCCACGATCCAGTCAGTGTTACTTGAATTGCTTTAATTAACGGTAAACTTATGGGTTTTCGAATGAAAATTTTCAAGAAACAATTTGTCTGTTAATTGTTTTCTGTTTGTTTATTTGTAATATTAGTTGAAAACATGATCCGCCGGCATCTAGTAAGTCTTGCGTTTCATTCTTTTTTTATTACATGCCTCCGTTCTGCGAAGATGTCAGCCTATTCTATACAATTTTTACTTTCGAGTTCAGCATGCAACTAGTGAATTTTATTTGAAAATATGTGCTATTAGTTATTCTAGATAGATAGCAAGTGATGTTTTCAAGGTTACTTGCGCTAATGGTCACGCAAAAACTGTTTTTGAAGTAACAACTTATGGTGCATGTCATTGGTAGTCGACTTTGTCTTGTTAGCAGGAACTAACTCAGTCCTGCTCATCTGGGTATTTTAAATACTGTATTCCGTTTTTCGTCAAATATTACCTCGTAAAACAGTAAATGCTTTTTACACCTCATCGTTTACATCGCGATACAAATTTTCCTAAAGAGCAGTCGCGCGACAATCTCGCTTATCGGTAATTCCATATTAGGGAGTAAATTTTGATTGGTTCCCTAAAAAATCCCAGCATTGCGACAAAGTTATACGTTTCGGGGTTATATGCTTCCGTACCGGAACAGCGCTCGACCGACCAATTGAACTATAAAGCCAAAAGGCTGGTAGCTAGTCATTAGGGTAGCCCGTCATAAAACAGTGAAAGGGTGAAGATAAGGAGGAAATAATAAATAACGACTGGAGAAAAGAATATATGAAAATCTTATGCAAGCCTGAAGAAGATGAAGGTTCAAATACAGGTGCGACTGAAGGTATTTGGGTTAATGAGTCTCTCTGGTGTCTCAATCGGTCACCGCTGCGTGTACTGACCTTCAAGTCCATACGGGTGGTTATGTGTGGTTCAGGTATGGATGGGTGAGGAGAGCGCATTGTCCTGTTTTAGTTTCTTCAGTCACCTGCAAGCCAGAAGTAGCTGTCTCGGACATTAACGCATTTTTCGTATTATAAGAGATTAATATCTTACCAGCGACAAGAACAGGATACTGGTTCCTTGGCAGTAAGTTTGTCATATTTTCCTCTAGGGTTGCTTTAAAGTCTCCAAATCGTTCCTGCACGGCGATTTTTACCTTAGTGTCGAGCTTATCCAAAAACGTTGCAGTCTTTTTGTAAAGATCTTGGAGATTTCTACGCTTTCTTTCATCTGACTTGCTAGCGTCGGAAATTGCCTGGTACTGAGGCTAAAAAGAGAAAGACATACACATCATGTTTATTTATTTCAAAATTTTAAATAGCAATTGTGTTTCTTTTCCCAAGAAAACTTCGAATATCAATAGACGTTTTTAGAGAAATTTGTATCAAAGACGGCTTGAGATGTCAGTAAATTTATTTAGGAATTGAAATAACTGGAGGGTTTTGAACTGCTGAGAAGAATGGAGGTTTGGCGGCATGGGATGGTTACAAACTCTTATAGTAATATTAATATTGTAATCTATAATCTGTAATCTGTTTTTCTTTCTTCTGTGACTTATAACTGTGGGTAGCTGGCTTAGTGGAAAGTGTTTAGGGTCTGGAAAGGTTCAGGACATGCATGAATGGAGCTGGTCAGAGAGTGCTAATGTTTGCAGCTTGTGAATTTTGTAAATAAGCGTATTACAAGCATCCTGGAAATCAAGAGTCGAGAATCGAGATCAGCACCTAGATTAGCCTGTTCCAGGCTCCGAGATGGTTGAGTCCGCGAAATTGAGAAAGCGCGAACACGAAAATAAAACGGGAGGAAACTTGGGGGAGGAACGGCGGCTTTTTCCTTTTTCCCGCCACCTCCCCCTTTTCCCGAATACCAGCTATCTGGGAGCCTGGAACTGGAGAGATCGATCAGAAGAGATGAAGATAGCACATGGAGTTAAGAAGATAATGCATAGTTACGATGGTTTTTAGGCCCAAAGTTGTCAGCGTGAACCAAAGAAGTTGTTAATTCTTTTCTGTTAGTGACCAGCATAAGAAGGTTAGCTCAGTGCTAATCTTTTTCACTGGGTAAAGAGCTGCCTGATAGATACTGGGGTCAATAGCCAAGTGTCTAAAGCTAACTCTAATGTCTGGGAATAATAATAGGACGCGAGTTATAACAATCTATGAACTCCCTCCAACCGCCTTCCCACTTGTTTGTGGATACTAATAATTCAAAAAATGCTCCATTTCCCAAGTTTAGGTTTAAAGGGAGTTCACCCTCATTTGTTTGGAAATTCTTTTTTTCTCTCTCTTTTTTTTTTTTGTAATTCATTATAGATTATTTATATAACTGCTATGTGTGATGTGAATAAGTGGTATTTTAAAACTTTTTGTATGATAGAGGCGGGTTTGATGATGCACTATCAATTTCAAAGTCTGTTTGAAAGCCTTTTGGATTATAAGAAGATGGCATTTATGATAACAATACTTCCATACAATCATGTGCGCTACAGTATTCGCTAAAAACAGGTTACTTACCTCGCTAACCCTCTTCATTCCCGACTCCACTAGATAATCACGTATTTTAGCCTTCATTTCGTCTACACTATTCAATCCTTCCGTTGATATACCCAAGGAGTCCATAATCTGGATAATCAACTTCAAGTCTTTTATTTGGTCCAGGCCGTCGCCCATTTTTATCTGCCGTATCTGGAATGAACAAAAAATGTAAGAAAAATACAATCACAAATTCAGTTACAAAAGTGAGTAGGTCTATTCATTTATAATATTTCTTAATTCTCCTGGTAGTCCCTCTTTCTTATAAACATTTGCCTGTTTCTCGAACAGTTTTAACCGAAGATATGAGCAAATGTTTTTGCTTAGGATGTTTCTCGCAAGCAGATGACACCTATCTATATTTTTGCGTACTTTTCCGTTTGTTTCTTTCATTTTTAATCAGTAATTACGCCATTTCGTCTTGGCATAACCGTGAAGTCTACCGCCATTTTCTCGGATTCTGCACTCATCCCTGTCTTGCCACGACGACGTCAATGACTCTACGATATTGCTTGGTTAGTGCCAGCTGCTTAATATGAAGAATTCCGGGAGATTAAAAGTCAATCAAAAAACGGTTGAATATTTTGAATAAATAATTTATTATGATTCATTACTTTTTTGCTCGTGCTTTAACTCAAGCTCTGGAACCGCTATTGATACGTGTCGTCGGGGACTAGGCGAAAGCTTTTGGTACTGAAAACGGCCGTGTAGCAGACTGCTGGTCGTGACTATTACTTCGTCCTTGTGCATGACTGTGATTGTAAACACAAGCGCAGCCAGGAACTCAAAACGTAATTGATTTGCTCTTTGTACGAAAGTTCTTTTTTTTTCACGAAATCGTTGTCAATTAGATATTAAAATAAAATGCACATTGCTTTA